CAGGAGTACATCCAAGAATTCTTATTCTGTTGTTTTTTTTTTTTTTTTTAATTATTATTATTTTTTCACGGGTGTGGACACAGAAGCCCTTTTAGGCAAAAGCTGTGTAGTAGGAGTGAAAGTTTAGAATGGATCTAAGTGAGGTAAGGGTGGAAGAGACTGAATTATCATACTGTGTGTGATGGACTGACAAAGGCTGTGTACTTAAATGTCATGCAGCCTATGATTGTCCTAGTGCTTGCAGGCTTTAGTTAAATCCTTACAGACTTTATTTCTGTGTGTAGATGTACAACTGAAGGCTTGCTCTGGATAGTTTCTGAACACACTCTGGTATGTGTTTTGTTGCTCAGGCCAAGCTAGTTTTCATGAGTGCATTGTTATTACTGGTAGACTGAGAAAAATGAGGGAGAGGGCATTCTTCTGTGCTTGCACTTGTTCTTCTTCAAGCCAATGGCATAACCTCTGCTTGAGCAGTCACAGATGGTGCCTCTCCATAGTCTAATCCTACAAATAGCTGTGCCAAGTGAAGACCTTTCTTTGCCTACAGGTCTGAAAAAGAAAGAATAGATTTGAGTGCTGCCTAATCCAGGGAAGTTCCCTGGTCCTAGCCTGATGTGCTTTACTTGTATCTATTCAGAAAGTTTGGACACTCCCTTCTGCCAAAGAACTGCTAGAGTCCTAATCTCCATCTAGCCAACAGCTGGACAGTGCTAACATCTTTAGCTGGAATGGTTAAATCTGGTAAGAGGCTTGCATTAAAATCTTAGTAATTTTTACATTCCTGAAAAATTAAAAAATATATCAGAACTAAAGAAGGAACAAAGTTTGCAAGAGTATTAGAACAGTGTGACTTTCCCTGCTGATGACAGAGACTTGACACGGCAGCATGGCATGAAGCATCCTGGAGGGTACATGGAAAAAACTGGATGCAAGCATATGAACTTTGTGTTCAATGTTGGCTGTTCATTGCACAGAAAAAGAATATTGAAGCATTATGAAGTCTGTGGCATTAAAATTAATTAAGGAATTAAAAACCCACTAATCTTGCAATAATATCAGGACTTTCTTCTTGAGCAATTGCTGTTTTTCAGACTATTTTGTATCAAAATGCATAGTATTTTTAACTTCCTATTAGATCTAAGAGTCATACTGTAAGTGCCAAGCAGACAGAAAAGAGTCGTTATTCAAACTTTTTCATTCTTTTATCTTTTACTTCTTGTCATGTAATTTTCAGTCTTGGAACAGGTTTGTTAGTTTGGGTTTTTTTACATTGAATTTCTTTATGTAAAAAAAAGAAAAAAATTTAAAACCGTATTTTCGGTGTAAGTAGTCCCTGTTTGAAATCTGTAATTCACACCTCACTAAATCCAGCAGGGCACTAACATAGCTGTTTAGAAATTTTGGGTTTGTGAGCTCTTTCAAAGTAACATGACCCTGATGAAGATACTTTTTATTGTGTGTTATAATTATTCTTCATAGTTTGTGGCTGGCCTTGGAAACTGCAAAGCTGACTTTCAGTTTGTCTTTTAATACTTGTATTCATACCTGCATTTCCTGATACAAAAGCAGCAGTGACTCTGAGCTCTACACTTACAACATGTAAATCAGGAGAACGACAAAGATTATCTGTACAGTTTAATGTACAGGTGGAGGCAACTGGAAGATTACATGGACTGGACCAGTATTTTTGAGCTTCAACTGTTTTTGCTTTGGCCCTATCTAAAAAAAGGTATCTGAATTTTTGTTTTTTTTATCTTTAAAAGGAAAGTATATTTTGCATTCCTCTATAATAACTTGCATGCAGCTGAGCAAATTCTGCCCAGATTTATATGTGCAAGACTCAAACTCTGTGTCTGAAGGAAAATAGGCTCTGAAATTTTACCTCCACTGTAGAATTGAGGATCTGAGACTGAAATACAAATGGTGCATGATCAAAATGGCCCTAACAAGAAGCATTAAAAATTACCTTCCCAAGCAACAAGTAGAAAATACTTCACTTGCACTTTACAATAGGTAAAGGGTACCTCAAGAATACCTTGTACTTGGGTACCTCCAGGACAGGGGTGAGCCTTTCTGGAGTCTACAAGTCACTAATGTTTATCTTTGCACATTTTTTTGTTTTTAATATATCTGCTTTTGAAATCTTCTGACTTTCTTTGTGCAGTATTTTGAGTGGGCATTCAGTGTTATGGCCTCCACTCTGGGATTCTTTCCCTGCCTTGCCCTGAGTCTGGAGTCTGGAATTAAGTGCTGTTTATGCACAAGGGTGCTGGCAGAGGGGGTGGGGAAGTTGTGTTTGAAGTTTTATCTGAAGCAGATCTGCTCTGGATTGCTGGGTACCCCATTGGGGTGCAATTAAAGTCATACATCCTGCTGTCTAAAGGCAGAGAGGAAGGATGGAGGCATTCTGACTCCATTCAGAGTTCATTCATGCTAGTTTAACTGTGGTGTGCTGTCGAGTCCTCCTCCCTTCACCCTTCAAGCAGAAAGTGGAAGAATGGGGTCCTAGTGTATGCCCAGGACCTCTTCTGCTGTGCAGGTATGGGATGCTAGAGATAACCCTGGACATAGACCTAAGAACTGAATAGAGCTTCCTAGCACAGCTTCCTAGCTGTGCTTGAGACGTACCCAAAACGTTCTTGTGGTTTAGACTACATCATGGGTATTCCCCACAGAGCATCAGTTTAGCCCATGATAATGTAAAGGGGTAGGGATAATGCTTTTCCATTCAACACAAAGCTTGACAGAGTAGTATTTGAAGAATTTTAGGTGTCAGCAATATATAACAGCAAGGATCAGTCTGACAGTTATAGCTGAGTTTTCCAAAAGTGACTTTTGGATTTAGGTTTTGGGACCTCCATCTGCCATGCCTCGGTCTGATTATTCTGTGTACTGAGTGTTTAAAATTCCTTCTGATGGCAGTGTAAAAGGTTTTACAGCTCTCAGTATTAAAGCCCAAAATATCTTGTACCAGCCAGCCCAAATGAGAGGGCAAAATAAAATTTTTCATTGTTTATCAGGTAATTTTTGATCTGAGATCAGATTCAGCTAGGTGAAGGACCAGAATCCAGCAGGCAATTGAGGGTGTGTTTCCATGCTGGAGTTCAGCCTGTCAGATACCTTTTTCCCTCTCTTCATTTATAGGTCTTCATCTGTAGATATCAAAGTGCTTTAAAGCACAGTGTTAAGTATTGTTATCTCTGTTTTTTAAAGCTGAGGGATATGCAGCTGTGTTAGAGTGACAAGCCAGACTTCACACAGGACAGTAGCTCAGCTGAGGAAAATGGTTAATCCTCATGAGACTTTGCCCAGTGCTTCATCAGACCCCTCTCCAGCAAACACAGTGGTTTTTTGTAAAACTCCTTGACTAAGACCTACCAGCTTAGACACAAAGGACACTGGCACGAGGTGAATTAAACCTGCAGTAGGATTTGGCCAAAAGAGAGGAAATTACTGTATCTTCCTATATAATCAATAGCTGAAGCTGAATGAGACCTTGGCTCTGATGTGGAGGGTTCTTGCCTTGATTTGGGATAGCTGCTCTTGTTGAACTAACTTTCTTTACTCCAGTAACAGCAGCAGCTGCAGTGTGGTGTAGACGTGCCCAAACTAGCTTAAATAGCTCAGGTAGTGCTAGCCACTGAGCCAAAGAACCATGGAGTTCAGCACGGGCTTGGTGCCTGGGGATTTTATCCTGTTCTTTGAGTTTAGCATTTCTTTACCATCTCAGCTCCAGCAAGCCCTGCCATATGTTGAAAAGAAGGCTGGTGGGTCTGGTACCCTGTCTGCTCTAGTACGTTTTCTGAGAGAAGTGAGCGTGGTACTAGGGTTGATGGTAGGAGATGTTGCCAAAGACAGCAGTGTCATGAAACCTGTTTTGTCTCTCCCTCTCTACTATTCTCCCTCTTCTTCCCCACTCTTCCACTGGTCTTCATCATTAGCTGCCTTGCCTTTGATTCCATTTGCTATGAAGCTCCCTAGCCCTAAGGCTCTACTGGAGATCATGAATGTCTAGGAGCTGGCAAAGGCTTGGAGAAACAGCTGCCTGCTGGAAACGTTATTGGCCCTGCCTGACTGTGGACTGTGGCTCTAACAGGAGAATCTGTAGGGACTAAATATGGGAAAATCCAGGACCATTCCCCCTGTGTCAGGTAATAAGGACCAGACCAGAAGCATTTGTGACGTGCTCTCTCAAGTCACTCTCCAGATAGTGGGCTCCCAGCTCAGCCTCTGTAAGAGAGCTTTGTTGATATCTGTAACTCATCACTTTCTCCTGGTAGCCAAGGACTTAAGCAGAAAAGAGGGTTCAGGTCCTTGAGAGCTAAGTAACTTCTGCTGAGCCAATAGGGAGGTACCATCACTGCCCTCAGTTTTGTTTGCAGGAACAGCCTCATCAAATAGTGTTTGTGGGCAGAGACCCTAAGTAGACTGCCGAGCTGTTAAATTGCCAACCTACCCACTGGTTTATTCTGCAGCAGAAACACAAGCATGCCTGGACCAACCCCCAGAACTCAGCTCTGAACTCCTCTCTCATTCTGTCAGAATTCCCAGCCTGTTTTGAAAATGGATTTTATTTTTGTTAAATTGCAAAAGAGTTGGATGCAATCTGCTAGTTGTGTTTTGACTCTCCTTCTTTGTGCAGTAAAATTTGTTCATTCACTTTACATGCCTCAAGTTGCTGTAATGCTGCTGGGAAAGTAATTGCCTTGCACTTTCTCTTTCTGATGCCCACGGGTGACTGTGGGGGACTCCTCCCTGGGCACAGTGCAGAGTTAAAAGCCCAGCTTTTGCTGCCTTGCTTAAGACCTGGTTATTTCTTTCTTTCTTTTTTTTTTCTTTCCTTTTTTTTTTTTTTTTTTTTTTTTTGTCAGCTGCCTGTTATATCAATCACAGAGCTGGGATCTATTTATAGGTTGGGACTCGGAGTACTGTGTCCTAGTCACAAAGAGAGGCAGAGACGCAGAGGGGACTGTCGGCTGGTGCAGGCAGAACCAAAAGATATTTAATCAGCAATTAGAAACACCTGAGGGCAAGGGAAATTCTACTCCAGCCTCAAGCCTCATCTCTCAGCCTGCAGCATGTAAGTAGCGAACTCCTATCTTTTATTGTGTTTATGGGCTTGTGTTTTGTTTCTTTTTTTATTTTTATTTTTTTATCCAAGCATTGCTCTGCACAAATCCTTTTATCTGGTCTAAAAATTATGGCAGCATCTCAATACAGTTAAAGGTAATATTTTTTTGATTTTCACTCTGTCAGAGGAAGGTCAGTGCGACCCACAAGGAGAGGAGTTGGTTCAGAACTTTGTAGAAATCTGGCGGTTTCACTATTTGAGTGTGGCTTTTTCCTCTGGAAATAAGTAAATGAAAGTTTGAGTGGAACAGTTTTGTTTTGGGAATAGAAACAGTCAGGTTTGCTGGCATTCCAAAAAGGTCAATGTATAACGTAACTCTGCTTAAGGGCTTACCAAGGACAGGTGCTATTTATCCCATGCTGGTTAAGGCAAACCTGGGAACTTTAGCAGTCCTGTCTTAAAAGAACCAAGTGACAACCTTCCCTCTATTAAAAAACCCAAAACCCAATACCCCCCCAGCTGCAAATCAAATCTTTTCTTATCAGACACATGCAATGAAATTTTGCTTTTACTGAAGGCATTTAGCACTAAGCAGTTGATGTTTCTTTAATTTTAAAAGTCCCAAAGCAACTGAAGAATCTTCAGTGACAAAAGAGGGGTGCAAGTCTTTGCAAAGTTGGCACGGTGATAATCAAAGAAGGAACTTACTCTCTTATCACCAATGAGATGTTTGCTTTAAAGCAGCCAAGATGTAAAATGTTTGAACAATTATATATTTCTATTTTTATTAACAGAAATTTGAAGAGAGGGAGAACAATAATTAGTCAGATTTTTTTTTATTAATAGCTTTCAGTAGAAATATGAAGAGAGGGAGAAAAATAATTACTCTGATTTTTTTTTTTTGTTAATAGCTTTTAGTATAATTTTTTTTGTCAAAATATTAGAGGCTTTTCTTGTTTCATAGTTTTGCTTCAGAGGTTTGTGTTACATCTTTTTACAAAATTTAGGGTTAATATTTATTTCTAAGCATAGGAAAATAACCTCGCTGTATCTACCCCCCAAAATCTTAATAGTACTGTTTTAATTTTAGTATGTCAAGTTTTTAGCATAATTTTCTCACTAAATATATGTTCTTGAAAACTTTTTTACACCCAAAATGTATAATTTTTGAAGGTAACAAAATATGAAATCAAGCTAAACTTAAAATAATTTTGAGGGAAAATTGTCTAATAGAAACAGAAAAATAAAACCTGAGCTGCCTCACAGTTAAAACATCAGATTTTGAGGAATACTTGAGAGACAAGTTTCTTGGACTGACTGTAGAAGGGTGACAAATAGGCTTCTTCTTTAGTTCTTTATTTTGCATTTCTTCAATGTACATTTTATAATACTTAGAACATTTAGCTTAAGTAACTAGGAATAAAACATATTGACTACATATTAATGCTCTCCAAGGTTTTAACAATTGGTATGAATACTCCATCATTCAGCTAGAATTCTGATATAAGGAAGGCTTTTAAGAGGATATAGATAAATAAGGTGAAATAATATGCCCAAATAATGCCCCAAAAGATCATTACAACACATTGCCTGCTATGAACCTTTTTTCTCACAAATTAAACCATGATCGTTGTCATCATATAAAGCTTCATTTTGATTATTAAAGCTTTCTGCTTTACTTAAAAATGAACATTTTAAAATTATTTAAGTCCTTTTCTGTTTGTTTTGCCATGATATTATATTTATTGCTTCTCTGTAAGAATGCAATGTTATTTTGTAATAAAAGAAGCAGATTTTTCTGAAAAGCATTAAAGAACTAAAATTGCTGACTCTGTAACCAGCAAAGAATCTATCATATAGCTGGTCTGAGGTCCCACTAAGAATTAAAAACCAAGATACAATGCTGAAAAAAGAATTGAATTATTTTCTTCCCTACACAAAACCAATATTAGCATGATTGTGCTTGGAAATTACTGCAAACCCCCCTTCTCCCCCCCCCCCCCCCCCCCAATTTACCATACAATTTTGCAAAAATCTGAGAAATCAAGAAGTTTTCTGAGTATAAAGCTATAAAAGGTTCAGTATTAAGAATTTATTTGGATTATTCTATAGTTGTGTCCACATAATTGCTGGACTTTATTCTTCTCTTTCAACCACATGTGAATATTTTGCCCTGTTACCGGCCATATCTTATTATTACTGCTTTGGAAAAAAAAACCCAAGCACCTACTGTCCTTTGGGGTAATGATCAATGCTTTATAGGACCACTTTTATTTGGAGGGAAGGCATTACCTGTGGTTAAAGGGAAGGCCAATGCATTATGTAGCAGAAAGAGTTTGTTATTTAGTTTCTGCTTCACTAATGATTCACGTTTTGTGGACTAAGCACCTATCAACCTCTGAACTGTCTTACTGTACATATGCTATTGCATGGGGGTTTTTTCATTCCTTAAAAAACCCAACAAACATCTTTTGCTTTATCCCAATTTGTTTGTTTCTTTGACTGCGAAGTAATGATTGACATGCAGATTCTCTTTTCCACGCCTCTCCTTTCATTGCTGAGTATGACATCTCTGGGGAATTATAAATAAAACCTGTGCCAGATCTGCTGCACAGGTGTCTGGAGTACAGCATGCTCAGGTGCCTCACTGTAAATCCCTGAGAATATGAAGTAAACACAAGCAGAATAAAAATACTCTTCCTGAAACAATTCTGTGTTTTGAGGGGCCTTCTGCATAAACCCCCCCAAAGCCAGCAGCCAGTTATTAAAGACTGTGTAGCTTTCTCTCTCTCTTACCTTTTTTATCGCTTTACCTGTACATCTGTCCATCTATTTCTCATCTATTTTTACATTTCATTATGCTGTGCTTGCTCTCCAGCTCTCTTCTTTTCCTTTCCTGAAGACACATTTCTATCTGGCACAGAAAATAAACTCAGATTGCGGGTAGTTATGTTAATCTAATTCAATCCTCTGTGGGCTAGGAGTGAAATTCTAATAGTGGAGCTGTTGAGGGCTTTTTTGTTAATGGCTTGGGGATTACATTGAGTTAAAGGCTCATTTCCTAATCAAACAGAGAGGGAGAGAGTGACTCCGAATATTTATGAGTCTCCCAGCGAGAGTTAAACATTGAACTCCAAAAGCAGGATTTCAGTGCTGCAAGAAAGAGTTAAAACCCCTCAGGGCTGCTGTGGAGAGGGAAAAAAAAAAGGAAACCAGTTAAGCCATCAGCATTTTCAACTGCTGTATAACTTCAGTTTGAGAGAAAATAATCATCTCACGAGCTAAAATGGAAACTGTAGCAAGATATTTAAAACAAAGTCAAGTGATGCTTCAAAAAGGCTCTTCTTCAGTGAAGCAGGATGCACGCAGTGCATGCAGCCGCCTAACAGAAACTCCAAATAAATACTCCTCTAAATGAGAAGGATTGGAGGGTGGGTTGCCTTTTTATTATTAATGCCTGGAAGACATAATTTAATTTTCTAATGCTTTTTATTTTTGTTTCTACTTAACTCTTGGGTCACCTTTTCTTTAAAAAAGAAAAAATAAAAAGGAAGTTTGATGAGTCAATATCTAAATTGTCCTCCGTCTGTTCTGCAGATTGGTACCTTTTGAGGTATTTTTTCTGTCCTTCAGTTTAGCTGGAGTCTTGTATCAAACAGTCTAGTTGAAGAACTGTATTTGCTGTGACAGGAATGATTGACCAAATTAATGGCTGATTGCTTTTGTGATGAGTTCATCATACATGCATGGGCAGCTTGAGTAGACCTTTCTGTTGCTGCAAAAGAGCGAGCCTCTGTGCTGCTAAGGGCTGGCGTGCTGTGAACTAGCCAGCAGTAAGCTTTTTTCCTCTGAGCTGGGACTGAGAAAATTTGTCTGCAGCAGGTGAACTGCACAAAATCAAGACTGTGCCATGATCCTGCCTCTCTTCAGAAAAGAGGCCCTGGAAAGGAATGGGGATAGAAACCTGTTGTTTTCTGACACATGGCCAAGTCAGTTCTCTGTGTTCCTCAGTTTCCCTATTTGTAAAATGATATGTGACTGCCATCAAAATAACCCCAAGATCTGCAAAGAACAATCCTGTATAAATCCCAAATGGCTGATTTGCCCCTGGGAAAAACTGTGAATCACTGGCATAGGTGCATAGTTGAAAACAAGAGGGTTTTTGCTGGGAACAAGAGTCGCCCCCCTTCACTTTATTTGTTGTTGTTGTTTGGTAGGGGTTTTGGTTTGTTTGGTTGCAGTTTTTTTAATACATTTTGTACTAGTCACCATCAAGGTTTTCTGATTTTGGCATAACTAGGAAATACAAGACTGACTAACTTCTTGTGTAATATTCAGTGGTGCTGTCCTATACACTAGGTCTGAGTTCAGTCTTAGTGACCCTTGCTGAGATTAATCTCGAGGTTTATTGCCCAAAAGTGGTAAATTCTGGCTAAAAAAGTAAGTCACTGTTTCATCTGGAGCCATGTGTATCAATGGTCATCCTGTATGCACCAAACCTGGCATTTTTGCTGACATGTCTATCTGGATGTAGCACCTTGAGGTAAGATTTGGCATCTTGCCCTAGTTTTAAAATTATTTAAAACTGCGACCTGATGTGAATGCCTGAGGCCCCTTTCTCTTTGTGCTCTGTGCCTGGGCCTGCTGAGGAGAGCACCATCAGCTAGAGTGTACTTTATTAAATGCATTCAAAATACATATTAACTGTGTTCTTTCCCTCTAATCACTGGAATATACAGCAGATTGCTTTGAAACAAAAGCTTTCTGTGGCTGAGCAGAAAACTGTGTAACATTTTTTTCCCCTGCCTTCTCCTTCCTGTCGTATTTTCCTTTCTTTTTGCCTCAACCTTTTCCTCTCCTGCACTATTCTGCTATGTCCAGTTCATACTTAGATTTTCCCTGCTGACCTTTCAGGCAGAATACACTTCCTTCTCCTCTTTTTGTACTTTCCAGTGCTATGCTGAATCTTATGAAGGTTTACCCTGAAGGGGGCTGCATTTCAGTGAAGC